AATGTGATTTGCCTTTTCATATGTGTTCAATTTTTTAAAATTGTATCCTTTGGTATATATGGTTGTGACTATTTTCTTCCACTATTTGATCTGAGGAAGTGGGTCTGGCCCACGAAAGCTCATCATCTAATAAACCATCTTGTTAGTCTTTAAAGTGCTACATAGTCCTGTATTTTGTTTCAGCTACACCAGACTAACACGGCTACATTTCTATCACTATTCTTCTTGCTGTATAGAGGCGCTCTTTGTTATTTCAGAATAACATCAGTTATTCTGAAATAACGCTGCTGTGTAAGACGTACCGTAAGTATTCTGTCAACTCTCTTGATTTGGCTGACAACATGCATCTTGGACTACAATCATGCTTTAAACATGCTTTTATACTAGTTTTTAACTCCTGTTAGCGCTAAGTAGCTAATACAAATATGGGAAACCGTGATAGAAAAGTACTATGGATTCTATTTGTCTAATGCATAATTAACACAAGCATTAAGTAAATTTCTACCACAGACTATTTTTTGTAATGATGCTCGTGATAGAAAGAACAAACATTGACTCCTGATCTCAGAAGCAGTTAAGTTTGCAGAGCTGACAGAATAAAACATATTTTTACTTAAAAAAACCTGAGCACAAATGAGCTGAGAGAAAACAAACTTAGAAATCTAAGGCTTCCACGGACATATTTCAGAGCATTACTGTACATTGAATTGAATGCAGAATTCCAGCGTTGCAACAACCAATACTTTTTCTTCTTCATTATACTAAGGCACACATATCTGAGGCAGATTAAAACAAACTGTACTCTTATAAATCTTCATCTTTAAAGGACAATCATTACCCCTGATTATTCCACGCTGGCTGAAGTATCTGCCTTGAAGAGTAACTTACAAATGAAGGCATTAGAGCAGTGTTTCTGAAAGTGCTCCATGAAAGCATTTTGAGAAACACATTAAATGGTCGCCCCAGTTTGTTTATTTACTGGTGCTGGGGCCATGGAGCCTTTGACTCCGTTTTGTCCTTTGCAGCAAGGGGAACTACAGGAAGCAGCGTGGGCCAAGCCACCACTTCCTGCTGCTCCACTTAGCTGCAAAGAGCAAAACGGAGCCAATGGGAGCCATGAGGCTCCGTGGCCGCGACGCCAGTAAATAAACAAACCGGGGTGGTCAGTTAATGTGTTTCTCAAAGTGCTTTCGCCGAGCACTTTCAGAAACACTGCATTAGAGAATGATACTAAAACACACACTCACACACACACACACACACTCCTCTGTTTAAAAGGATAACATGCCATATCTTTAATATGTGGTCTAAAAAAAAAAAATCACTCAAGTTAGTTGGAATTAACCAGTATTCTTCAATGCATCTTTCTTGTTTACTACAGTATACGTGAAAATTACATACTTTTAACGTGAAATTCAAAATGACAAGAAGCCATTGCCTAGGCTTTTGCAATATGGTGTAATATCTTACGCATTTAACATCTTATTTTGCTGAAGTCTAAAAATTGTATATGCAGCTGTTTTCATATTGAAAGAAAAAATATGATTTCAAAGCCCTAATATAAACTCTGCAGGTTTTAAGTACACTGATTTGGGATTTATTTCCCAGAAGAATGAACATTAGATACCAAGGAAGAGAAAGCAAGTGTTGTAAAAAAAATTCACCTTTATGCAGTCTTCTTGATTCAGATTCTTTGGTTATGGTTGCCAGACAGTGTGGAAGTACACTGCCACAGCTGTTACTCTGTCCTAGTGGTAAATGACCCTGCATGGAATTTTGTAAACAGATATTTACAAACTGCACATCTCAAAACTTTAAAGTCAGCAATTCAGAATAAAACAAACACCTCATATCTTAACATATCTTAACATGTTTGGATTTCCATATCTTAACATATTTGGATTTCCTTTCAGTTTAATCCAAATCTGAACGTACTATGGTTGTAACGCCTATGATTCATCGACACTGAAAAGTTATATCAGCCACGGCTATGTCTCTGGCAGTGTGTGGAAAAAAGCCACTGTCCTGAGAGACATAGTTAAGATGACCTAATACCTAGCATAGCCAGCGCTAGGATGAGCGAAGAATACTTTGGTCAACTTAGCTACTGCCTCTTGGGAACATAGATTGTCTATTCTGATGGAAAAATCCCTCCTGTTGCTATATTGTTTACACTGAAGATCTACAGTACAACAGTTGCAGAATGTTTTAGAATGTAGACATAACCTATGGGGATAATTAGAACATCCTTACTCAACCGTAACTCCTTAACTTTTCATATGGGGACTACAGAAATGGAAAAGCTATACATAGGCATATCACTTACTTTAGGAGTAACACTTCGTCCAAGAGTAGCACTACTGAAGTGGGGCGATACAGAGGAAGTGGTTTTCTTGCGGGGTAAAGTATCACTCATATACATGCCCTCCTTGTGCTGTTTCTTTCTTTCTTCCAGATTTCTAAAGTGCTTAAAAATAATTTACAACACTATTTTGACAAAATAAAACAAAGTGTTTGGTAAATTTTGTTCCACATTGAAAATAATAAAATGTACTGTCTCAAAATTTCAGAAGATCTTGTCTCATTTTGAAGCTCAACATTCTGTTTCACATTTTGTCCAGAATTTTTTTTAAAGTCTGCTGAATCACTAAAACATATTATTAGTCATAGAAATTATAGGGTGAAATTAAACAGTACCCAAAGTCTCCAAAGATAGAAAGGATCAACTACTCTAAATTTACAATATCATTAAGGATTGAGTCTCTGAAGCATGTGCAACGCTTGAGGTTCTCATTTAAGCATTTATCATTAATCATAATAAGCAGAAATTATTAATGAGTTCTGCTAGTTACAACATATAAATGGCCAAATAAAAATATTTGTGATTACCAAGATGTAATCGGACATAAAAATTGAACTTTTTAACATATTTCATTTCATGGAGATTGTAGACCAAACTAATGACAGGGAAAGGAGTTTCAATTCCTCATCCTCTTAAAATATTTTTTCCATATTGTTGAGTTATGAGAATGAAAAATGTTTTGTAAACAGAAAGTAAAGCTTACTATTAATTCACCAATTTGTAACTGAAACATGTTGTACATAAAAATGGCCCTGTAATTTTCCATCAGGACTATCTGTTGATTAAGAAAACATTTTAAGAGCAGGAACATATTGTTGGCCCTGTGCCCAGTTAGAGTTTTGAAAAAAGAAAATGGCATCCTATTAGGCCAAAGGGGGAAAAAAACAACCTTTCAAATCCTAATGAACTGATAGTTTAAAACCAGTATCTTTTTTCAGATTCCATTGCTGAAAGGTAATAGAAAACCCTCAATTTAATTTTGACTTTAGAGCTAACCACTTGCATGTTACTGATGCAAGTGCTTCCAATAATTAAGAAAGCTCTCAAGTGTCAGCATTTTCCATTGTGTTATTCATTTGTTTTAACAGCAGACAGACATATAATATGTACAGCACTGGTGGCTATTTTAAGATCTATTCTCATCTCATTTTGCATGTCTCTATCTCTAACCTCATTTACAAACTATCATTGAGAAGAGACTATTCACCTCCATTCAGTAAATTCATAAAAATTCAGCACAGACTTTAAGTACAGAATTCTAGAATTTTGATCAACTAGTGATTCTCAGATAATTGTAAATTACTTCATTGCTACATTAAAACATCCAAAGTGACCAGCTTTTAATTTGTTACCTGTTGTTGCCTGCGGTGTTTCTTAGCTGGAAGAGGAGGAGGTGTATCAGATAAAGGAAAAGGATCTACATGTGTAACCATGATCTCAGGCCAATGGACTGATGGAAGTTGAGCAATAGAGCGAGGAGAAAGAGAGTGAGGAAACACAAATCCAGAACAGAGAGTTGATCTTAGCTTTATAGGAAAGAGAGAAATTACACACAGAGTTTTCTACTTGGAATTACTCAATACACATGGCTCAATAAGCTGCAATTTATTATTATTTCATTGGGAGAATTTAGAGTGAAAGCGCACATTTTAGTGGAACCGGTAAAACATTTGTAAATATTTAAAGCAATATAAACATGCTAAATACCAAGTTTAATGGTGAACTATTACAACACAAAGGTAGGAATTTTTCAATTACGTTAATCTATATTTAGACAAAGCAGCTTTTTTTAAAGATTGCAATAAAGGCAAAAAGCGACAAAGACAATGCAAAAAATGCCAGAAAGTGCAGTTAGAACAACAAAGAAAAGTGAAGGTATCAATCTGTTTCCAAAATATTAAAGATAGATGTTACTATTGCATAGATTCATCCTACAGAAATGAACTAGAGTAAGACAGGAAATCAACACTTCACTTCCATCATACAAATTATTATTATATGACCTGAGACTACTTTTCCAAAAGGACATGCTACCCTTTACTGTTTGAAAGGCAATGATGTCACTTGTTTCTGACAAAGTCATTATTCTGCTTAGCCTCTAAAATCTCAAATCCAAAACCAAGCATATTTTATAACTGGAGAATTCCTTTTGCCTTTTTGTCAGGTCAGCTTCTGACCCTTCATCACTAAGTCTACAGTTTGTTTAAGGGTTCAATGTATTACACTAGAAATTAAAACAAAAAATAGCTGTGAAAGAATGTCTCTCAAACAAACCTCTTTATTTTGTGGCTGGCTCGCTAGCACAGCCGTGGAAGGCACAGTAGCAACAGCGTCAGCATCTGTGGGGGGCTGAGTGGAAGGGGATCTACTCGTGGAATTGCCATACAGCTCACTAATTTCACTTACACTGATATAACCCTAAAAGGAGGAATTCAGAAATTAAACACAAAAAAGGAGCAAAAGCCAAAAGACATGCAAGAATGTTAATGTATGCAGTTCAATGAAGGTTAGTTTAGAGCGATACAGCCAAATATCTGTGGCATTACCAAAATATTTAATTAAAGCAATAACAACAATTATTTAAAATCCTCAACACTTTAATTCTGAAGAATGTATTCAGTCATTCCAAATATATTTGTGTTACCAAAAGGCAAATCAACTGTAAAGGAGCAAGACACTCTATCAAAGTAAAGCCATCAGTGCTTCTTGTTTGCTTTAGAATATATACATTTTAATTGCTTAGCAAGAGCCAGTACCTAGATTTTAAAGATAACATTAGCATTTTAAAGACAACATTAACATAGATAACCAAAGCAAAAGTCTTATTCACAGATCCTTAATCCTCAGGATTTTCCTCTGCTCGTTTTTTCCCCCAATATCATCACAATTTATATTCTGATACATCGTTTAACTATATTTGTGGGGACCAGATGGCTAATGGGATTGCTGTGATGACGTGGCGGTGTTACTCTGTAAATTAATAGTCTCTCTGTATATTTTAGAGAGTTTGCGTGTCTATCTCTCTGTCCATGAGTCCATCTGTGAGTCTGTTTGTTCAAGAACTATTCCTAAATGCTAAGAGCTAGGACCACCAAATTTGATATAAAGCTTCCTCTTATCCTAACCTGATGCAAGATCAGGGTTTAGTTGTGCCACAAAAATGGGCAGTGACTGGAATAGAACTATTTTCCATAACATGGAAAAGGGGGAGTCTGAAAGCTGTGACAATTATGTCCGCAATCACCACTGGGGACAGTTATACTGCGGAATGACCACATGGGGTGGCTGCACTAGGAAAAGTGTAGTCATCTGGAGCTGGGGCTCTCCATATTGCCAGCCTTGGCAGGGGGCCAGGCCGCGCAGCCTTGCTCCTCCCAAGGAGCTACTGCATCCTGAGCAGCTGTCGGTTGGCTGGAGGGAGAAGCATTGCAAAGACACACTAGAAGGTGGACTCTTTTATCCACTTAATCTCAAACTAGATGTTATTAAGGAAACTAAACTGTGATTCCAAGTTCAGGAAGCTGCCTTAGGTAGCTGACAATTTATTCAAAATGGTAGTATTTTCTGTTACATAGATATAGAAACTTCATTATGATGGGTTAAGATGATAAACACATTGCTTCAATATTGCTAATATATGTAGTAGGTGAAACACTACACTAATAAAAGATTAACTCTGCTCCCTTAGGAATCCTCGTCTAATTCAAAGTCCATGGGTTGTGAGGATTCACAACGAGAATCAGAGCTTTGGAGCTTCACAAATGCAGCGGAGTCTACATTTTCTCTCACATTACCCTTAGTTTCCTCAATGTCTCAACCAAAACTTTTGAAACTGTTCTCTTTTGACTGCTAGCAATGATTCAATAAATAGATCTACAATAGCAAGTCTTTAACTCAGTATGTAACAGATATAAAAGGCTGAATTACACAATTATAATGCACTTTTTCTTATTCCAATAAAGGAGAAGTCAGTGACAAAAAAAAATGCAAAATATATTAAGATCAAGAACACTGGAACTTAGTCACACTTGACCGTATCTATTTCTTGATCTCTCTTGCCTCTGGTTAGGTTCAAGTGTTTAGAGAAAAACAGATTATCTAACAAATGCAAAATGGTAAATTATCCAATGCAAAAGTTTAATGAATGCCAGCTACATTAGGGAAAAATGTCTGAAGTTATTTTTTGGCTTAATTTGAATTTCCAGAAGTAACTCAGCTATGTTTCCTAATCATAGCAAGAACAGAATATTGAAAAATCATGTGACTAAGTATTGCATACTTTTTACATTGAAAGATTTGCCAAACTCTGTGTCACTATTGCATACAATGTTAATAAACATTAAGCTTACCAGAGGTTCTGGAAAAGAGCAGTTAACACTGCTTACCTCTTTAAAACTACTGGGATGGACAGGAAATCCTTTTCCTCCAGAAAGTCCAGAGTATTTCTTTTCCAGATTACAAAGATTCTCTTTTTCCTGTCAGAAATAAACATTGTGTTTATTTTAGAAATGAATATCCAGCTGAAACTGATGCCAGTTATTTATTTAAAGAGTATAAGGAAACCCTCTGCTAAGGCTAGAATGTCAATACCAGCTTCAATTATATTTATTTATAGCAGAACTGAAACTCTCGAACAATTCCCAATACATTTCCGGGATTTAAGCTCCATATGGCCTGAGAGCTAGCAATCCCACACTTTACGACCAACCCAGATGCCACTGAAGTTGATGAAAAGACTCCCCTTGGCTTTAGTGAGCTCTGAATTACACCCTATATGTCCAATTGCAAAACCCCAAGATTGTAAAGAGTGATTTGGGGTGTCTGAGTTTTTGGGTTTCAACTAGATACAGTGAAGAGGCCTGATTTGAGAGGTGAAGGCTCCAAACTTTCTGAAAACCAGGCCTTAAGGCCTGTACCACATTGGAAAAACAAACAAACAAACAAAAATCCCAAAGACATCCTAAATCACTAGTCTCTTTAAAAATCTTTGCCAATGGCCAGGTCAAATAAAGCTCTTGATGAGAGCAAGGCAGATGCAGGGGAAAAACATTTTTTGTTCTAGAATTTTATTAGCCAGAAACTTGTCATGCCAGGTAGTCTGATTTTCTGAACAATTATTGGCCATATTAATGGCTTGGGAGAGGCATGGGTTGTGCACATTTCCAGATATCCTCTGATGTGTGAAATGTTGGCCTATTGCATGATCCTAAGACAGGAACATCTTTTGTTTATTATATTTTTGTCTTGTTCACTATGGGTATGTCTACACTGCAGAGTTTTTTCGGAAAAACTTCTCTTACATCCACACTGCAGTCACGTTCTTTCAAAAAAAAAAATCAAAAGAACAGAGGGTTTTTTCCGACATTGGTAAACCTCTTTCTACGAGGAAGAAGCCTTTTTCCGAAAGAGCTCTTTCAGAAAAAGGTGCGTGTGGACGGGGAAAAGGGAGTTCTTTCGAAAAAAGAGGAAAAAGCACAGGCACCCTGGTGGCCACTCCGTCCATAGTAATCACAGCTTAAATGCGAGATAGCATCCATTCAGTGTGGACGCTATCTTTCGAAAAAGCAGATCTCTTTTTCGATGCCCTTGGGCAGTGTGGACACTCTCTTTCGGAAGAAGTTTTTTCAGAAAATGTCTTCAGGAAAAGCTTCTTCTGAAAGAAGCCTGCAATCTAGACATAGTCTAGGAGACTGTAGCTATAAAACTTCTTATAAACAGGAGGTTTCAAAGTTGGGCTATGGCCCTACCCAAGCAAGCCGCTGGCAGGCCACGTGACTCTTTGTTTATCTAAGTGTCTATAGTCATAGAGTCTCGCACCTCCCATCGACTGCGGTTCACCGTTTCCTGCCAATGGGAGCTGCGAGGCTCTGTGCTTATGGATGCTTAGATAAACAAAGTGAGACACAGCCCACAAGCAGCTTACCCAGATGGGCCTGCAACCCAACTTTGAAAAATCCCTCTTATAACACAAAAAATCACTACAATTTGTAGTTAGAAAATCGACCGATAATAATTTTTTTAATGCTATTGGAAACCAGTTTTTCCTGCCAATGGGAGCTGCGAGGCTCTGTGCTTATGGATGCTTAGATAAACAAAGTGAGACACAGCCCACAAGCAGCTTACCCAGATGGGCCTGCAACCCAACTTTGAAAAATCCCTCTTATAACACAAAAAATCACTACAATTTGTAGTTAGAAAATCGACCGATAATAATTTTTTTAATGCTATTGGAAACCAGTTGAGATAATTTTGTCCTTCCACCTTCTATATAACAGCTGGATTTTTTTTAATTGTTTTTTTAATTATCTTACAAAACAAGAAAATGCTTACTCTTTGCAGCATCATTATTAAGTTATTCTTCTCTTTTACAAAGTGATCTTGTTCCCTCTGAGACTGCTGGACGATATGATTGGCTTGCTTTTTGAGAGCAGAAATCTTCTCCTAATTCACAAATATAATAACCACATTTTACATGTTTAATTTTAGAAGGACAATATATGCAGAAAGGATCCCATTCTGAGAGGGCACATGATAGTAAATATAACATATATATTTGATCCATAAACTTGCCAAAACAGAACTGAGATAATTATTTCTTAAGATTGTAATTATTGGAAAAAAATTGTTAACTATTAAAATGTATGACTCCTTAACGTGAACCTGAAAGCTTTCTGTAGCTCCCATTGGCTAGGAACAGTGATCCATGGCCCACGGGAGCTGCGATCACCTATACCTGTGGAGGTGCAGGTAAAAAAAGCATCTTGTGGCCAGCTAGTAGCTTGCCCTTACAAGCTGCGACCTAGAGTTTAAAAACCCCTGCACTAAGTGGCAAGTATAGGACAGAAAGTAAAACAGAGCTAACAAAGGAAATTTCTAAATTACTCCATTTAATCGTACCATTAACGGGAGCGGATTCATTAGAAACTAGACATTATGGAGAGTGACTCCTTGTAAGTGATATAAATAGGAGAATTAGGCAAGATCAACTGGAAAAAAAGTACGTATACCTTATTGTACTCAACTAGAACAAGTTATATTCTGCCATGCTGCTTACTTTATTGCATAATTTTACATTTGTTAAAATATGGATGGGCAAGATAGAAGCAGCAATCTGGTTTATTTATTGGATTTGCACAAACAAGTGCAATGACACTGAAATTTTTTTATCTCACTCTATTCCAGGTTGTTTCACAAGTGAAGGGGAAAATTAAAACAGAGTATCTTGAACATGTCTGCCCTTATTTAAATAAATACTTGTCTCATCATCTGTGTCATGCCACACTGTTAGCTCATCCACATCTGGCTTCATCTCCTACATTCACTACCACTTCTATTGTCCATCAATGATTCTGGAGGCTTCTTTGTCTCTTATCCCACCCCATTTTGCATATTTGCCAAATATCTCCATATAACGATACACATCTGGCACAATCAAATATTTCAGCATTAAGACTGCAACCACACTCAAATCTACTGCACCTACTTGTGTCTATGTTGGTAACTTCACTGGCTTTTATATGCATAGAACATTCAGCTCTATCAAAGTAGGCGCTATAATGTACAGCATGATAACAAACAACAGTAACCTTTAGTGTTTCTCCTAATGATAAGTGTAAAGCTGACATGGGGAAAAGAGGATTCAAATAATTTTTCTACCTTATACAGACAGATCTGGGGACACCTTCATAAAAATACCAGACAATACACACTAGATAATCTGGGTCCTCATACATTGTAACTGTACCTCGGCATAATCAGGGTACAAGCACAGGGGAAGTGTCACTGGGAGGACTGTTCATTTAAGGGTGGTGGATCCAGTCCCACCTGTGACATACTTGTCTCTGTAGAGGGACAAAATGGGCAGTGACACATAACAGGTGAATAATGTGGCTTATGGCAGGCTTTCTGAGGTGTAGTTAAAAGACAAGCCTTTAGAGAGTCAAAGGGACAGAAGGGAGATTCCCTGTAGGAAGCCCTGAGAGTTGCTACTCAATAGAGAACAGGGGGAGTTTCAGAAAAGGAGGAACGTTACAGGGTTACAGGAGTTGCTTTACACAAAGATTCTTCCTAGCTCCCTCACAGAAGGGCTGGGGTTGCAAGCCTTAAGATATCAGGAGCCAAATAAGAAGGCTGGACTGTTGAGGGCAAGTCTGCCTGAAGAAAGACTTGACAAGGACAGTTCTAAGTACATTGCACAAAGGGTCATGAGCCAACTAGAAAAACTCTGTGGGAGTTCTTGTGTTTTCTTATGGACCCTGTTGTTAAACTCAGACCCCAGCAAGGTGTGCCCATTGATACTTGAAAGCATATAAGTTATTGGGGAATCCAAGGGAGAGAGAGAACTGAAATAGCTAAACTAAAGCCAGACTATGTAAGTGGTCCTGCTACAGGTAGAAATGCAATACTTACTGTGGCCAGCTTGTCTAGACTACAGAGTTTTGTCAACAAAAGTGGACTTTTGTCGACAAAACTATACCTGCGTCATAACGTCGACAGAACTCAGCAGTTTTGTCGACGCTGATAAACCTCATTTTATGAGGCATAACGCCTTCTGTCAACAGAGTTCTGTCGACAGAAGGTGTTATTGCATGTAAACTATCCTTGCGTCTACTCTGCCATGTCAACAAAGCAGCTTTGTCGACAGAACTGAATATAGTGTAGACGCTCTTTGTCGACAGAAGCTTTGTCGACAGTATCTGTCGACAAAACTTCTGTCGACAAAACCCTGTAGTCAATGAGTGTGATCATTGAGTAAAGTCAATGAGAGTGATCATAGTAATGATGCTGCTGCCCATCATATTGTCAAAAAGCTTCACACTTACAGAAGCAAGGGTAAACTTCATAATGGATAACATGAATCTCTAACTCTCCTTCTTTCCAAGACTTGGTTGGGTTATTTTTTATTATTTGTATTTTTGTCTTCTTTTATTTTGGGTTTGTATCATAGGACTTTGTTCTTTCATTTAATTTTTGGAGGGGAGAGTGATTGAGTAGATGAGATTGTAATCGTGAGCATAATTCTTGCTATGATGCAAAATCCTTTTTGATAGAAAGATTTTGCAGTGATTCCTAAAGAAGTCAGATTCTGGATTCACCAAATCTCTTTTAGGTGCATCAACAAAGAAATGGGTAATGGTGAAATAATGGTGCTTTGACTTTAAGTTAAGAAGCACAGAAAGCAGAGTTGAGTTGTAATCCTTTTTACCTTTCTACTGACAATGCTGCGCTGATATTCAGCTACTTCACGCAGGAGCTGCTGTGTCAGGTTCTCTTTTTCCTCATCTAACCTGCTCTCGTGTTCAAGTTGCTGAAACTCCAGATCTTCAAAGTGTTTACTCTCTACATCCAACAGATCAGCGTCCTTTAATGACAAGCAAACATAAAAACACAAAAAAATCTTGCATTTACACTGATCAGAGAAGAGTTACTCAACAGCATTTAACTCAGGAAAAATTTCCTAACTGTAAGAACTGTGGGACAATGGCACAGACTGTCTAGGGAGGTGGTAGGAGCTCCTTCACCAGAGGTTTTCCAATGGAGTCTGGATAACCATTTGTCTTGGAATGTTTTTTAGACCCAACAAATCCAGCATCTTGGCAGGGGAATTATACTAGATATCCCGTACAGTCCCATACAGTCCCTTCTAACCCAATGATTCTATGAATCACAGTCTAAACATTATTATTCCATTTCATTCCACAAACCCGTCTAAGCAAATACAAACTTGATTTCTTTAGTTCATCACAGGCATCATAAACAGAAGTAAAAATGGCTGATTTTCCCTTTTGGGTGACTTTCACAGTCACTCCGACCAGAATTCTGTTTCACAGGAATTAAACATGAAAAGATGGATTCACCTGTGCACAAACACATTGCAAGAATTTTCTGTTCACTATAGGTTCTTATAAAATGCTCATCACTAGAATGTTTGAGTGCCTTCGAGTACGGGATTAAACAAAAGTGACTGACATCTGTTATGTTTGTTTCCATCCTCTTCCCAAGGGAAGAAGTATATGCAGTAGAATGTTTTGTTTGGGATTCTAATATTACACACACAGCTCTATATTTGTTTATCTTAGAGAAGACAAGGTGAAAGGAGGAAGTGGAAGGCGGAGAGGTTTATTATGGTTCTTCGATTTTGGGGACTTCATCCCACAGTCTAGGACCAGCCCCATAGTAAATTGTTTCCTACACAGATGAGCTTTACCCTAATGGCAGAAAGTTCCATTACCCCAGAGGAGCAGTTATTGATCATGGTCTTCATCACAAAGCCTCAGTTGATGTTTTAGGTAAACTGAGCCCAGGAACTCCTTGAAGGTAAAGACTGAAACCTTGAATCTAATTTGATAGTCTACAGGAAGACAGTGTTAAGAGCAGAAGGTGGGGTTGATTTGCTTGCAGTAGTCAGTGCTGTTGAGGAGACGTGCGGCAGCATTTTGTTCTAGTTGGCGTTTCCTAAGTGCTGAAAACTTCAAGCCCTGGTATACCACATTGCTGTATTCCAGCTGAAAAGTAAACAACCGAGGCCAGTTCAGCACCCACCAGGATGGAGCAGAGTCTCCTAGCCCATCAAAGACAATAGAGACACAGAGCTTAGTGGTAGTCATGTGCTGACAACACATCACTTCATATTGTCTCATGAACTGAACCCTTTCCACAACCTCATGTGCACACAGAATAGAAGAGGAAGAAAAATAACTTCCCAATGCTAGCCTCAGAAATCTCTGAGAAAAAAGAACATAGACATTTGAAAAACTATCACCATATATTCCCACTAAGTAATCTTTAGCTATACTTTTATAAGAGGAGAGGTGTCCGTCACACCGTCTGTCACAGAGAACATTGGAGAATACACAGGAATACACTGGAAAACTTTCAGAATACACTGGAAGACTTCCTCCTCCCCTTCCACCACTGCTTTGGTGCGGGACGTGAAAAGCGGCACACCTCCCCTCCACCACCGAAGCTTGATGTGAGGCTTGAAAAGCAGCATAAATGGGGCATGCTGGAGAAAAATGCAAGTGCCTTGCCAGTGAGTTTGTGGGTGAGCCGAGTGGTGGAGGGAAGAATAAATAGGGTGGGATAGGGTAGGCTGGGTGGGTGGCTGCCGTTTGCTCTCCTCTCCTCTGCCCCCGTACCACTGTGGGACATGAAAAGTGGCACACATCCGTCACCTCTGCACCAAAGTGGGATGTGAGGCTTGAAAAGCAGCAAATGGGCCACGTGGGAGAAAAATGCAAGTGGTGGGGCTCAGCGTCTCCCCAGCAAGCGGCCAGCAGGTGCAGCAAGGAGCTGGCGGCAGTGGTATCATGCAGATCTGTTCCTGCTGGGGCAGGCGGCTCATGGGCCATGTCCGCACGCTGCTCCTGTGCCTCGGGGGCAGCCTATCTGGCAGGTGGGGACAGCAGGAGCAGCAGAGTGCTGTGGGGGGGGAAGTGTCTCATGGTACATCGAGCAGCTGCTGCCATAGCACGATGACTTCTCTGAATAGCACATCAGACCCGGGGACAAAGAGAAGCGAGAGATGCTGTGAGCAGTGGGGCTGGCAGTTAGTCTCTGCCTGTCACTTCCTCAGCCGCCCGACCTGGTGCCCCCTGAGTCTTCCCATGCCCTGCCCCTCCCCCAGATCCTGCCTCCCCACCCCCGTGCCACCCACTCACCTGCCTCACCTCGCCAATGCATCTTCCCCTCTCTGCCGCCCCTCAGCCCGCTGCAACAGAGCCATGAGGTGGGGCTTGGCTAGTTGAATATAAACAGTGTCTATGGCAAGCTCATTAATCTAGTATGCTGTCAGCCATTGTTATGAGGTCATTAACAGATGTTGATAAAAGTTAACTCTGTTCATGTACACAGGTATGTAACCAGAATGACACAGGTCCAGAAGAATCAAGTCTCTTAAAAATTGTGATGCCTCATCAAATCTTCACAGTGATTTTAACTAGAAACAGAAGATTTATAATCGGATAATTATTTATAATGCAAGTCATGGTTTCTGGAGCCTAAACTGCAAGAAAGCTTTAAGGAAAGCAAGCTGCCTGCCTTCTCTAGGAGAACAACTGTTAACCTACTGTTAATAATAATGTAGTAACAACAGAGCCAGAATTTCCCCAATAGGAAAATCATGATTCCAAAGCAAAAGTTCTTCCAACACCTCCAGTATCTCAGGGAGCACTATGAGACAAAATTCAAGGAAAGAGTATATAGACTTTGCCACCTCAAGCTATTGCCCTCACAGACAGATCACCATTTAGAATTGAAGCAATTTTATCTTCACAACAAAAAAATTTACTCACACTTGTGGGGTTCTGATCAGACTCAAAAAGGGACAGATTGGACCAACTAAACTAACCAACAACACAAAATCACACTCTAGTTAGCTATACTTATGCCTCATTTGTTATGAATCATCCATAAACCAAGATGACGTGAGAAAAAAATATATGCAGGGGGCTCTTGGGCTTTTGTATAGATGACTGAGTACAAAGGATTGTAACAAAGTCCTATGAAAAGAGATCAACATTCCTCCCCTTTCCCCTTTCCTCCCCCACACCACCTTCTGGATATCCCCAATTTCTGTTAGTTTTTGACAGCAGATTTCTGACACCCTAACTGGGATACCACCAACCTCAAGCCTTAGGAAGCAGTGATTTGTCCATGACATGGATATAATTTCAAAACTCCCAACTGTCAATCCTAACTCAAACTCCAGATTCAGAGTGTGAAATACCAGCTAGATTTCACACAATTATATTTAAGCATAGCTAGCATCTGCTATAATTAACCAAAACGTAATGAGCCAAAAATTTAATGAAGGCAATGGATTATTTAACTGCAAATCCACACCAAGAATTTTCCTAGTTTTATTCCATAAAACTTGAACGGAAGAAATAGGTTTTTTAGCCAAACATGTTCTACAATTTCTTTATGGGCACTGGTCATTCGTAATTGGATTATTACTGCCATCCCCCAGCAATAAACTTTTCATCATACAGTATTATGTCTTTGAATATTAAAGTAGAAAGAAGACAATTTTATTTTTAATAACTATTGATTAGAAATGTTATCTATTTTTAAAGTCTAACTATTGTAAATGCTTTAGTTACTTTAGAAATATCAAACTTAAAATTATTATTGGTTATTTTTGAAGTCTCACAGGTCTGTAGGTACCTTATAGATGTATTTAATAAAGACCCCAACCTGCAATTGATTCAGCACAAGTGTTCCTGTGTACTAGAACAGAGCACCACTGAAATCCACAACACCTTGTCTGGTTGGAGACATCTGCAGGATCAGGATCCAGATTTATTTGATACATATATTAAAAGAAATATGTCCTGACTTATTTAAGGAATCACAATTACTAGAGAAGTACATTAAAAGATATATATTACGTTTTCTAATACACTTTTATAACTTTCTATTTTCTACATTTACATTGATTAAAGGTGGTCTGCTAAAGGAAAGCATAAACCCCAACTGAAAGTAACAAGATCTTGACTTTTGAGCACGACAATGGGAACTGAACTTCATTGCCTATTTGAATGTTGGACAATAGTATGTGATCAATAGCTATGGCGATTCAAATATGTGTCCACTGAGCAGTGACAAGAAAGGCAGCAGCATTACAAGCTTTCCACACAAACGGTCATGGCTGTGTGGCTCAATTCTGACCTCTAGAATTAAGTTTCAGTTTCCAGATCAATTCGAGCCTTGGCTCCTTTATTAAGATTATTATTACTTTTTTCTTTAACATAAGGTCTCCTTTGCCATTAAGAACTGTCCAGAGTGTACTCTTTCACAGAGGCCAGCATAGAATCCTAGCAGAGGGTATCTACTTGTATAATATTTAAAGGAATATTTTGTATTGCTAACACAGTCTAATTTCCCAGATTATTTTTTTTAAACCATGGCTCCACACAGAGAAACATTTTACTATAGATACCGTATTTTCCGGCGTATAGGGCGACTGGGTGTATAAGACGACCCCCTATCTTTTTAATTAAAAGATAGGGTTTCATCTTATACCCCAGCGCCCCTCCGCCTCCTTTGCTCCCGGTGTCCCTGGTCTGCTGGAGATGGTCCCCAGCAGACCAGAGGCACCTCCGGCGGGGGGGCAGCCCATGCGCGCCTGGGATGCCCCGCCGCCGGCTTCCCCCGAGGCTTTCAAAGCCGCGGAGGGGCTCCGGCGG